GCGAAGAAGACGTTGAACAGCAGTGGGGACATTGAGCACCCTTGTCGTAATCCCTGCGTGACCGGGAACCAGTCCGATAGCTCCCCATCGTCCGTGCGGACCCGGGCCCGCATTCCGACGTGGAAACAATGTGCGGCCTATTTCTTGCTTATCCCACCATATATAAATAACGTAGCAGCGAACGACGTAGCGTAGCGAACGGTATCCGTTTTCGTCTCTAGATTGGTTAGGTTTTAAGGGGATATCGAGCCGGATTTTTACTTCGTATACATCATATGCATGTTGTGCATATGAATACCATCATGTGGTTACGTGGCAAACTGCCTCGACATGCTGCTGCTGCCCTCACGAGTCGGTGTGCACTCGTCGCGGTGGTTGGTGTTTTTGTGTGTGTGGGGCGTGTGTGTGTGTTGTTGCTGTATGCGCGTCTTTCTGTTCTGTATGCGCGCCCGTTGGTCTTGTTGTCCGTTGTGTGTCACGCATGTTTTTGTGGCGTTTGCCGNCGCACTCAAGAGTAACCATGAGAGTTGGCATACACATGGTTTTGTTCTGTATGCGCGCCCGTTGGTTTTGTTGTCCGTTGTGTGTCACGNCGGTGGTTGGTGTTTTTGTGTGTGTGGGGCGTGTGTGTGTGTTGTTGCTGTATGCGCGTCTTTCTGTTCTGTATGCGCGCCCGTTGGTCTTGTTGTCCGTTGTGTGTCACGCATGTTTTTGTGGCGTTTGCCGTTAGTGCGCTGCTTGCCGGGCTGGCCGCGGGCATCTTCCCGTGCCTGGTATCCTCCGGTGCCGGTACCAAAGGGGCCTGGCATGTTTTTGACATGTTCCTCCGCGGTCGGTCCGCACTCGGCAGCCATGGATAGGAAATATGTCATGGATACGGTGTCGGGAGGTTCTGAGACGTTCCGAGGCATTTCGATGTTCTACCGTGCGGTGACGTGGAGGTCGATTTCCGCTCGATTTCCGCCGTCCGTATGTGGACACAAGTGGGTACAATTTGGACAAAAGTGGGTCGAAATGTAGATACAAGTCGGTACATTAAAAATAATTGAACACGCCGATGGGTATACCCACCGCGATGTCGGACAGAAGTAGGCACTCTGGTGAGGCCTTGCCCGCCTCTACAGTATTAGGGCCGAATGTGTGCCTGAACGTGCGAAAAAATCGATGCCCGTGCTGTGTATGGTCCCTGGCTGTGTCGCCCAGGNATAGATACAAGTGGGTACATTAAAAATAATTGAACATGCCGATGGGTATACCCACCGCGATGTCGGACAGAAGTAGGCACTCTGGTGAGGCCTTGCCCGCCTCTAAGGTAGTAGGGCCGAATGTGTGCCTGAACGTGCGAAAAAAACGATGCCCGTGCTGTGTATGGTCCCTGGCTGTGTCGCCCAGGTGTCAGAATGGGGTTTTGAGTCGTTTGGGGGTTGCCTGGGGAGTGCGCGCGCGCTGGATTTCCGAGTACGCACTTTTGTCCGAGAATGGCGTGGGTATACCCACATTTGTCAGTTTCCCTAAAAAAAACGTTCCTGTCTCTGCCCAACACCATTTGACATCCGCACCGGTTCAACTAACGCGGACGCGTTCCGTGGTTAGTTAAAGGACAAAAACAACAAAAATCACACTTCGTACCCACTGGCTCGTGCGTCCAGAACGTATGCTAAGATACACACATGACTCTTGCACCTACGCATTGTAGCCAACCTGCTGGGGCAACTGCCAAACAATGGTACGCGCTTTGCTTTTGCGCCTCACGCTGCCCTGGCGTAAGACAGCTATCGAGTTCTTGTCTCAATAATTGCAAGGCTCCTCTCGGGAATTTTCCCGCCGTACTTTCCCGCGGGATTTCCACGGGAACGGTAATTGGTAACGTTACCGCGATAATTCCCGGTTACCGTACCCATCCAGATCATTACCGAGCAAGTGGCCTTCTCCCATTTCCATCCAAATCGTTACCAAGAACGTGCAATCCCCGTGTTCCCACCCAACCAACTACCGTGCAAAATGTCGAAGTCCCGTGACTTTTGGTTACCACCCAACCAATTATCGGCCAGATGTAGAATTCCCGGCACCGTCCGGGAACAAAACATGTTTCACCATGCACATAGCTGACGGAACTGCCCATGTGTATCGCGGGTTCGATGCTTCGCATCGTCGCCTCTTCTTTTTTGCTCTTTTTTTTTTATCTCTTGTATCGATCCATCAAATGAAAGGACCTTTTCTTTTTTGTGTCTTGAGTCTTTGAATATTGGACTTGAGTATTGCCGTAGTGTGGTGTATTTTTTTGTTTGTTGTGTTTGAACTGCTTTCCTGCGGTGTCACGCAGATACGGTACACTATGCTTGTCGTTGAGCTCGATATGCATGCACGTGGTAGCTGGTGGTTTTTGCATCGTATGGCAGATAGGTTTGGTGCATTTAGTCCTTTCGTAGCTGAGATGTGGTTAGTGATCAAGTGATGGATATTTCGAGGTGTCGCTCTGGACGTACTGACGTAGTTCGTTTGTTTTATCCTTTGTCTTATGCCTCGAGTTTCGGTAACTTGACCGCGAGATTTTCGCCTGTAGTCTCAAAACAATTGAAAAGCGAAATGCGAAAGGTTCCATTCGTGTGTTTCGATGCGTTGTGCCGACCTCGGGCTGTACGTGACGCTTGTGGAGATGATGCTGCTGATGCTCCCCCTTGCTGTGATGTGACGAGAGCTGATAACCTGTTCGGATGTAACCTTTGTGAAGGGTGTATCCCTGGCAGTGGCCACTGTTTAGTGACAGTGTGCAGAGGCTCACAGAGTGACTGTAAAGTACACTTGTGTTGTAAACCAGATGATATGTTTGTATTGGTGCTTAGTTGGCCGAAAGTAGAGAAGGAGAAAAGAGAAGAAGTGAAAGAAAGCGAGAGAGAGTGAGCGAAAGCGGGCGAGCACCACGGGGGCGAGCCATACATCGTCATCACGGAAAGGAAACACACACGGGCCATTGCAACGTACCGATCACGGTAATAGACGGTCAATCCGACCTATGACAACGTTACTAGAATATCCTGTAGAACAATGGTCCGATGTACCATACTTCTATGGTTCAATGGATAACCCGTGGGTGTGTATAATGATCCGATTACTGAACCAACATACCAAGACTATTCCGGTAATACTCCTTAAGTGAATACCTACTTTCTGTTGTTAACAGCAGTGCAAACTCTAATGACTGACATTGAGTATTCCAACATCGTTTCATTCGTGGAACGCGCTGTTTGGGTGTCACGCGCACTGAAAAACAAGTGCAACACAGTTGCAGTGCATTGCTTTGTGGAGTGTTTCCATCCTACGTTACCGTGCATTACCGTGGTGGATTACCGTGGTGGCCCGTTACCGCGGCATTACCGTGGTGTCGAGTTACCACCCAAATATTACCGTGCATTCCCGTGGTGGCCAGTTACCACCCAAACGTTACCATGATGGCCGGTTACCACCCAATTATTACCGCGTACTATCATGTTGGCTGATTCCCGTACCAATCGTTACCGAATTGAGAAATCGTTCCCGAGAGGAGCCTTGAAAAATTGTTTGAAGTACACGATTTTGGCCGTGACACCAGGGAGGGTACATTTTATACTCTCGGGGCTGCTCAGCTCCTGGTTGCACGCTCGGCTGCCGCTCTTAATAACACTGCACCCCCTATTGGCCGAAATGCTGGGTTATTCGCCCGAGCACGTGACCGCGTGAAGTAAGGGCACGGGCGATCAATGTGTTCAATTGCGGGTTGGAAGAACTGCTGTCCTGGCGTACATGACCCGTGTAGATCCTTGACCCCACCACTTCAACTCTGACCCCATTTGCTACAATAGGCAGCTCTCGATCACTTCGTCGCAAGAGTCAACCGCGACATCGCACCGGCGGGATTGCCTTCCAGACTTCTGTGCCCGTTGTGTACTACTGCTGTGTATGCTGCGTTGTCAACGTATTCTCGGCGACCAATTTTTCCAGTTGTTTCTTGTCGGCCCGGTGCCGTGTTGTGGCCGAAAGCGTCAGGGTACAGCAAAGTATGGTGAAAATCAGAGGCTCAGGGTCTGGTGAGACTGTGTAGTCACGAACAGTTCCGTAGTGTTTTTTCCCGTGCTAGGTTGCTTGGTGTTCTTTTCAGCTAACGTCAGAATCTGCTGAAAAGGTCCTCAATAACAACAAGATAGTAGGCTGATGGCGAAATAGTTGATCTGTTCAAGTGACCTGTGCTGTGGCGATAGCAGCAGTGAGCAGCAAGGTAGCAGAAGCGTGTGCCACACCTTGTTGACAGGTGTGCGGAGGTGCACTGCTGTAGACGTGAGTCTACAACCTTATGGCATTTGGTTTAAGGACCAATGAGAAAAATATGTTGTACAAGTTTGTTGTATTGTTGAGCTGGGCAGGAAACGGCATGAGCTCTGGTGGGAAGCGTGCCTCTGCAGGGCAGAGTCAGCCTGTTTGTCGAGTACCTACGAAATTACGAAGAACCTCAGTACCAGTCCGGAACCGTTCCAGGAACCTCTCTAGTCTTATCTTGGACTTTTCCTGAGAACGTTCCTGAGAACGTTCCTGAGAACCGTTTTAGGAAAACATGCTCGATCTCGGAAGCATTCTACGAACCGTTACGGAATCGACCGCGTCCATTAGCGGATCGATTTAGCTACATTTCCAAAGTTGTTCTTAAAGTTGAAGTTACTCCGCCAGTAGCTTATTATATCGCGTATTCTGACACCCTCCCGAAATAAATCGCTCATTATGTATGTGACATACTATGTTGTATTCATGAGAATACTTGTAACTGTCTTACCCAGTTGATACTTATATTTTTTACAGGACATTTCCCTGTTGAGACCGTTTCCCTCTTCCTCACCCCGTCCCCACTCCAATCAAACGCTCTCAGACATGAACACCTTGATGGGGGTAAAAGGCCGCGACTTCGTGCTGCTAGGAGGCGACAGCGCCTTCTTTCGGTCGGTGGTCATCATGGACACGGTATGCTATTGTGTTCTCGAGCCCTCTTGTCTTTGAAGCCTGTATGTTCCTCAAGGTCAAGACCGTGTTTGACTGCGCTGAAATGGCGGCCGCAATCATGCGCCGAAAAAACTTCTAAACCGGCGCCAGAATAGATGGGACGAACACACACACAGCTTGTACCTCTGTGCCCTGCGATGATATGGCTGTAGGCTGGCTGACTGCCGAGATATGCATGCCACCCTCTCTGTGTTCACCCTGGTGATCGTGATCACACGGGTGGCTCGAGACGGAGGCTTGTGAACACCATTCGCTATGTACCCGTTGCACCAGACGGCAACTCTCAGGTCCCGTTCAAGTGATGACTACCGGTGACCGAATCAAAGCAACACGTGGAGCAGCGGCGACGATGCACTGGCCGGTGATTGCCCGGAGTCAAGCAGGACAGACATTGCTTGTCGTCTGGGCTAAACATTCATGATTTCTTTCTGCCGTGTCCCCAGGAGTATCGAAAAGTGGTGGAGCTGTCGGACAACGTCCTGGTTGCGACGTCCGGTGACCAGGGTGACGTTGAGATGTTCGTGGAGTGGCTTAAGGTAACAAGAATTGAAGAATTGTGCCCCCACAACCTGCAGTCCCGCACACACAATACCAATGTGCATGTGTTCGAATTTCAGGTGATGTCATCGGCGACCCAGAGGGAAGGGGCGCGTGAAGCGACGGACCGGTCTCTTAAGCTGGCAATTGGTTAGAAGAAAAAATGAACAGCTCCATCAGCAGCCAGAGTAGTCTAATTGTAGGACTCAAGACGCTGCTGCCGTGGCTGTTCTGAGTGTTGCCATCGGTTTCAATACGAGAGTCGGCCCAGAGAGAGGTCCTCGCTGTCGTTTTTCATTCCATAGCGCTCATGGCGCGGAAGTAGTACGGGCAGTTAAACACAACCGTTGGCTTTGGAGTTTTGACGACGACCAGTACGTACCCTTTCAGTACGTGCGTCGTGGGGGGCACCTCGTTCTTGTCTTGCCCTGGCCCAATCGCGCTTGCCGAACCCTTCCCTTTCCCACTGCGCGTGTGCATTGTCAGCGAAATGCACGGCTGATGCAGCTCGAGTCCTCGCGACCGGTGGGCGCGCGAACGTTGGCGCACTTCGCGAGGCGGAACCTAGCCGACAAGCTGCGAAAACAAGGGGCGGGGCAGGCAGTGACTGCGCTTATCGGCGGATGGAACGAGGTGCGCGTGCTTGCTGAATATGACGAATGTATGTTATTTGGAAATATGCAATACAAACACCGAAAGACTACCCGTTCGAGATATGTACATAACCACGGCAGTCGAAGCGGATGTGTTGGAGTCGTTGCAGTGAGTGGAGGGAAACCGGCTGGTACTGGGCTTGTTTCAAGTCTATATAAGCCTGCACAATGAATTTTTGTCAATGATGCCAGCAGGTGCTTATCACAAATATATATATATATGCAGAGTCTGGTGTTTTCGATGGGCGCAGGATATTTTGTGTGTGTGTGCGCATTTTCGCGCGGTGTGTCTTGAATCGTGGAGCACGTGACGTTCTACCGCAAGCTCGCCTGCTTGTATACCGACTCACACACATCCGTCAACTTTTTCTTTACCCGCGCCTTTGCCTCTGATGGCGCAGCGCAAAATGCCCGCAACACCTGTAACAAACCGTATTTTTCACTTCTGAGCAGCGTTCACCGATTGGACGTCTGAGCATGACAGGACCTCGAATATACCCACCGCACTTGTCAGTACACGCGAATGCTCACAGCGGATTACGTCAAATTGCTTCGACCTTGCTTTGGTCCCCCCTACGCTGCACAGGAACTCATTTAGCTTTGTCCGATTTCCCCTTCGATCGAGCCAAGAGCGTTCGATTAGTTTGTGCCAAGGCCCAGAGACAGCCCCGTTCATTGTTAACCACGTGTTCCTTGACTTTATTCTCTCTGCACGCAGGTCGCGTGCCAGCCTGAGCTGTTTTGGCTGGACGCCTTGGGCGCTCTCCAGGACGTGCCGTTCGGCGCGCACGGCCTAGCCTCGCGTTTCGCGCTGAGCCTTCTCGACAACGGCTTTCGCGAGGGCATGTCTCTCGACGAAGCGCGACATCTCATGGAGACGTGCTTCCGGCAGCTGGAGCGGCGATACCTCGTCAGTTCTGTGGGCTTTAGCATGAAAGTTGTGGACAAAGATGGTTGCAGAGACGTGGCTTGTATTGAGCGAGGGGAAGAAGGGACCGGTGGACGGGGGGGGCGAGGGGGCGGGGGCGGGGGGGCATCAGAGCAACCTGCTGGTAGAGGGAAACCGGTTGTTCTTCCATCAAGCGAATCAAGTTTAAGTTAAATTGTGGAGTACACATACGTAGCTGCGAGCAGGGTCATGGAGCAAAGAAAGGTTTTGTTCTTGTCGCGTTCTTAAAGCAGATTCAGCGTAGGCTCTTGATTCCGTGCGCAAGATCCAACGTTGATTCGCGAATGTCGGCGATGCGCTCTTACTTGTTGCATATCGTTTGATGATATGCCTGCATTGAAAAGTTGGCCGGATTGGCCCCAGTTGGAATGCAGGCAGTTGGTGTGTTAAACGCACCGCGATAGGGTTCCACGCGAGCATGCGGATTTGTATGAGTGCTGCTGCTGTACAGTAGACTTAATATATGGGATCTGCATAGAATGGATGCATCAAGCTACCTGGTTGCTTATTTTTAGCACCTGATATTTCGTCCTCCAACGGATTGGATACAGCAAGCCTTTCACTCACACCTATTTTTGTTTGGTTTCCCCGCGGCGTCGTATGTGCCGGGTTTCTGCGACCACGGGCTCCCCATTTTTGTGGACTACAGAGATAATGTGAGAAACAACAACTCATATTCCTGTTGGATGGGAATGACTTGCCGTTTACTTTGTCGTGTTTTTGAATGCCAAGGATACAGCATCTCATCTGAAGGATCTATGATCTGTCCGCAATACTATCGTGCAAACTGTTCACAAGATCCGTATTGGGCCTCAGCTGTGCCAATAATCCGGGGTATAGGTACCATCCGATCGAGCAGCAGTTGAGACATCTACGAAGCAAGTCCGCTCGAATGCAGATGTAGCGCGACGCGGCGGCAAAACTTCCGGGGGCATTGCAGATGCTACTTTCACAAGGTTCGGTACGTCTCGATACTACTTGCCATGCAATATTGTCCCTCGTCCCCCCAATACAGCATTTGAGCATATTTTGGAGTTCCACCGCCTCTCTGTTCACTGCTGTCTACTGTCACGCTCTGTCTCTCCTCCGGCCAACGCCACGACTGCCACCCTTGGGGGCTGTCCATACGCAATAGGATGGGGAATGAGGTATGCTATGAGCAAGGTCCTGTTGTGCAGTGGGTATTTCTTCGCGAGAGAATCGTTGCGAAGTATACAAGGGCCAAAGGTTTTGTTCTTCGTTCTGCGGCAACGAGAGAACACGCGAGGCTAGGCGAGAGCCCGTCATGAGAGCCGGCAGCAAGGTCGCTACATATGTACCAGCTCCGTCAAACTGCCGGAAACGACGGGTTGATTTTCACCCTTCGCGGCGTCCACATTCACTGTCGTTCAGAGAAGTTATGTCTGTTTGTGTGTTTGGCAACTGGTAGCAAGGATGGACAACCGAGAGCAACCCGCCGCGTCCGACTGCCTCGCCGCTACTGCTGTTCCCGGCGTCCGTCGACGTTTGCTTATTATCTTATTATGAAGTTGAGTTGTATGTTGCCTGTTTGCGTGCTTGCAGATCGCGAAGAAATATGAGATGGACGAGGAACCGAGCGCGTCCGGCGGCCTGGCCTGCCTCTGGAAGATCTACAAGGCCACGGACAAGGCCACCGGGAACCCGGTGTCGGTGTTCGTCTTCACCAAGGAAGACCTCAAGGACGTCGACAAGGCGCTACGAGAGCAGGTGCTCGTGATTCTCAGACGAGAGCTCAAGGTGCTGGAAGGGATGGCGGCGCGGAAGCACCCGAGCGTCGTGCGGCACATCGAGTCCTTCGAGGAGACCAAGAAGCTACTCGCCTTCGTGACGGAGCGCGTGTCGTGCTCCCTGGCGGACGCGATAGGGGAGAGCCCCGTGGGCGCCCTTCCCCCGGCGGCGGCGTCCGCGGCGCGGCGCGGCTTCGAGCGGTACGAGGTCGCCCGCGGGTTCTTCGGCCTGTGCGAGGGGCTGCAGTTCGTGCACACAATACGGCGGCGCCTGCACCTCAACCTCGCCCCGGAGTCCATCTTCCTGGCCCCCAGCGGCCAGTTCAAGCTCGGCGGCTTCGGCTTCAGCGTCGACCTCCCGTCCACCGGCGCCAGCAGCACGCCGTGCCCGTACTTCCAGACGGGCGCCCGGTCCGGGTTCGAGGGCACGTGGCGGCTGCACCCGGTGATGGCCTATTCGTCGCCGGAGGCGACGGCGCCCGCGGGAAGCAGCGACGTCTCGTGCGCGAGCGACATGTTCTCCCTGGGCACCCTCATGTACCAGCTGTGTCGGGACGACCCCCGCACGGGCCGCCTGTGCACGGCCGACCCGACGCCCCAGGCGCACCAGACGTTCTGCGCCACGCTGGACTACCCCGGGCGAGTCGACGTCTCTTCCCTGTTCCCCGAGGTGCAGACCCTGGTCGCGTCGCTGGTCCAGCTCAGCGCCACGGCGCGGCCCCTCCTCGGCAACGTTACCATCAACCCGATGTTCCACGGCAAGGACGTGACGGTGCTCAAGACGATCGACGGCATCCCCGGCCGCAACCCGGCGGAGGCAGCCACCTTCCTGACCTCGGTCAGACCCGCGGTTTCGGGGTTCCCGCTCCGAGTCCAGCGGGACTGCATCATGTTGCCCCTCATGGACGCCTGCGCCGCGGAGCCGTCCGGGCGGTTGTGGGCGTTCGCGCTCCCGATCGTTACCGACGTGTGCGAGAGGCTGGACCGGAGAGAGATCATCTCCTCCGTGCAGGCGAAGTTCGGCCCGGCCCTTAGGTCCGAGCCCCTGGAGGCGTTGGCTTCGCTGGTGGCCGCGATCCCTCTGTTCCTCCAGAAGATGGAGGTTACCTTCTTTCGCTCGGACGTGGTGCCGATGGTATGCAGGTGAGCTTGCTCACCGAGTTTGTTGGACGGGGCTGTCGGGTAGTGGTCCAGGTGGGGACGCGCACAGGGTGTGAACGTGGACGATTGTGTGTCGGTTCGAAGAATGTAGATGGTCGGGGAGGGGGGGGGGGTACTCATAGTCGTGCATGCCGTAG